GTGCTGAGGGCCACAGCCGCATCTCGGCAAGTGGGTGGGTAGGGGTGGGTAGGGGTGGCGACAGGAGAGGGGCGACGGAGGCCGAGGAGAGAGCGGGCGATGGGCGCTGATCCGAAGTGGTCTTGTCGTGCGCTGGTCGGAGAGCTCTGATCCGTTGTGTTGTGTTTTGTTGTGTTTTCCTTCGCAGCTGTGAGAGTACTGAGCCGTCTGAGGCGCTATGTTTTGCTCACGTCTACGTGATGTGGTTGTGCAGCCAGTGGTAGTGGCAGTCGACCACAGTGCAGTGGAGGAAGGGAGGATGCAAGCGCTCCTCGGCGCTCTCACTGGCCCTCCATGCGCCATAGCGGTTAGCAACTGACTCTCTGCCATAACCTAAATTCAGAATCGCTCCAATGCTAGGTTGAGCAATCGATGGGCCAGCGAACGGTTCGACTACCAGAATATAGAAGAAGAAGAAGAGGGAGAGGGAGAGGGAGAAATGCACTGCTTCCTTGTCTTTTGTTTGGTAAACTTGGCCAGCTTCAGGGAAGCAGCTACCAGCAGCAGCAGCTGCTTCTCTGGAAGTGCACACAGTCTTACAGTGCCTGAGCTGCGTCAACATCGAGGTGGAGGCGACACACTGGCAGAGGGGAGGTGAGGTGCCTGCCTGAATGCCTCAATGACTGAATGCCCGCCTGCACTCTCCTTCACTCACTGGGAGCCATCGGAAAGGTCATCGACAACTGCGAGCATTTACCCACTCTCTCTCTCTCTCATTTCACACCAGGTCTTGCCCACTGACTTTCATTACTGGTGGCTTAGTCCTAGGATAACTTGGAAATGAACACTTTCACCCCAATAAGTCCCCAATCATTCCCCTGACATTGATACCTCATCACAGTCACTCTCACTTGGTGGGAGAGAGAGGGCACTTGGAGACAGTGCCCCTCAGAGCACTGGCCCCCTCCCTGAACACTCACTTCACGTAAGCCCAACTTTAAAGTCGACTCGTCCAGTGAGTGATTCAGAAGCACCATAGAAGGTTAAAGGACAAGCTTCTGTCGTCTTCTGCTGCCTGTGCGCGTTTGCCACAGTGAAACAGAGAAACATTCCAGCAGAGCAGTACATTGAAAGCAGTCCACTCGGGCCCCGTCCCAGGCCAGGTCACACAAAGACACAGTGAGTCGCAAAGTGAATTTGAACTGCAGCGGCCGGCGTCGATCGGCGAACTGCGCACTTTGCCGGCCTTGGCAGTCGCGCTGCTCTGCTCCTTCTCTTTGCTGTGCCTCTCTGCTAATCACGTCGTCAGCACTGCGATTGCCTCTATCGTGCCGGCAACAGGTGGTAAGAGCGACTCTCCGTTTTGGTGAGTTTGCCGGCCACCAGCTGGACTTGTGTGGATTCCCTTTCAGCAAACACTCCTTTTCATACTTCACTTTAGTTTTCCCTTTTACTATACATCTGCAGACTAAAACTTCTATTACAATCTGTGAATACTCCAGGCTGAACTGCGAGCTCTGCTTTGCAGTGGGTGTCAGCTCAGAGAGCAAAGGCCGCTGGGTAGAGGCCGTGGCGTAGTAAAGAATGACGATTGGACTGTGCGACAGCCGAGCGGATGAGTGCAGTGACCACCAGAACAGGCTGGGATTGGGTTCAATGTTACCCCACACTTCTCTGACCGGTCGTTGACCGGCCGGCGACCACAACACTGCCTGACTTCTGGTGAGCCGATTCGCTACTTTTTCACAGACGACGGCTCCATCTACTGCACCAGAATGGAATCGCAAGCTTTACATCAAACTTTTAAACATTCATTTAGATTTCCCCCCCTTTTGTTTGTCATAGTTTCTTGTTTCACCTATTTTGTTTAGTTTTAAAATTGGTCCAAACTGTTTGAGAGTATTTATTTTAAATTGTTTTTAGCACAAAAATGTTTTAGAAAAATAAACAAATTTTACATTCATTAATGATGGCGGAAGTCAAAAGTTAACTATTTTTAATATAAAAAAGCTTCTGTTGATGACAAACTATTGATGTCTATGTGATACAAAATAAATCATTAATGTCAATTAAGATGCTTCAACTTTGTCAAGTGTTTCATTTGAAACTGAATCATTTGCCAGGGCACATCATTTTCACCTGCTTCTCATCCTGCCATCTTCAGCGCGACACATTGCACGTGATATATACTGGCTCCAACGAGTTTCGCCAATGCACTCTATATAGACATCTCCATAGACCTTCATGATCTCCATTCGCAGCATTGACGCAGTGCCCGAGACCGTGTGAGAGTGGCCTGTGATGGCCATCACTGAAGGCGACACTGCTAGCACCAGCAGCAGTATCAGCAGCAGCGAGTGGTCCGTTCCACTGGCTCCCGTTGGTGCCATTGCTAGAATCGATTGGATCGCCTCGAATTACTGTGGCAGTGCTCCAAGTGCGCCTATCTCGCCTGCTGCACCGACTCAGAGTGTCCACTGCCTCAGTACTAGTGCTTGGCAGGTCTTTCTCTCCCTTTCCATTTTCGCTAGTGACAGCAGTCTCTGAACATGGTGAATTCTCCGAGTTTCAGTGAGGCAATGAATCCCGCTTCTGTGTTTAGTCTTGGGCACCCATTTGGCTTCATTTGCCTTTGCTGCTTTACTGACGCCTTCATCGGACAACACTTGCAGTAATGTGTGGCTTTCCATCACCTTGATCTCTGCACCTCCCTAGACCTTCTTAATTCAATCAGCTAACTTCACTTCTCTATTCACCTGAACACCAACTCATACGGTCGAACAACTGCAGCACACTGCTTTACATGTGATACTCAAGCAGGCCTTGTGCGCCTTTTCCTTTCAGCTTCTTTTCTACTTTCTTCTATTGTTCTCATATTACCCGTTGTTTTTTTGGGCACTCTGAATCCGATTCATTTTCTACAAACTTTGTCTTCATTTTTCAATCATCACTTTTACAAACATGGGCGCTGTGCTTAGTTTGCAAGGCGACCGGAAGGTGGTAATCTACGGAGATGACAGCGTCGAGTCTAGCACTACATATGGTTCTTCAAAGATATTTGCACAGAGCAATGGACACCACCATCATCACCACCACCACAGCNTATTGTTCTCATATTACCCGTTGTTTTTTTGGGCACTCTGAATCCGATTCATTTTCTACAAACTTTGTCTTCATTTTTCAATCATCACTTTTACAAACATGGGCGCTGTGCTTAGTTTGCAAGGCGACCGGAAGGTGGTAATCTACGGAGATGAGAGCGTCGAGTCTAGCACTACATATGGTTCTTCGAAGATATTTGCACAGAGCAATGGACACCACCACCATCACCACCACCACAGTCACAATCATAACCATCATCACCACAACACCAGTAGGTCGTTTTTCGGACAAGCAACGAAAGAAAACTCTAAACACTTTAAATTTGGACATGCTCTCTTTGGAGATCACAATATGTCCACAAAAAACTTTCCACAACACAACCACCCTCCACTGGCTGAAATGCACATCGGGTCAAATGGAGAGCCAATTGCTAACCAAAACTATCATCCCACCTCTCATCACCACGGTCTGGGCTTGAAAAAGTCACTTGGTTTTATTAATGCTTTGCACCTCGGCAAACACTTTGGATGGGGTAAAGAAAAGAAGAACAAAGTGAACAAGCATGATCTTAGTGGTCAGCAATCCCTGAACAATTCAAAGATGACCCAAAGAATGGACGCAGGCAATGATTCAAATACCAGCTCAACTGGGAGAAACTGCATTCAAAAGTCACTGTCCTGTTACAACCTAAAGTCAGGCACAACAACGACAAATATTGAAATTGTAAAGAACATTAACAAGAACATCAATGCAGTTAGTCATGAATCCGATGACAGCCTAAACAACAACAACAACAACAACATTTGCGCTGATAATAACAGCAGCAGCAACGGAAGCAATAACGTGGTCCGCATCAACTCAATCCAAATGAAGAAAAACTCCATTGAGTCTAACATTAGTCGACACGAGTCGCTAATTGTGCCGAAGAAGGAGGACAGCTTCCTCTACGGCGGAAGGAAGCCAGTAGTCCTCACCACTGAGCAGTTCCCAGTGGTGAACGCCAACGACTGCCAATCGAAGCCTATCATCTTCCTCTCAAAGAGTTCTCAGGTGCGACCCAATGTGTACAACGTACTGCAGCAGGCGTACACTAACGGCGTTAATGGACAGATTAAGCTGTCCAACAGCCAGTCCTCTTCACTGGTGGGCGGTGGAAACAACCCTGCCGTCTGCACTCGAAAGACATCCAGCGTCAGTCTTGGCTCTAACGGCAGCAGCTCCATCATCGAGGGACCCAATCATCTGGGGCAGAAACGAACTGTCATTCAGGTTTGTGAAAGTGAAAGACATTCATTTCTATTGCGTGTCATGTTCTTGTGGACAGTATATCGTTCCTAGTTCCGTTTTCTAGTCAGCAAACAGCAGCACAGTTTACTAGTGAACGTGAATGGCTGCGCATCGTCAGCCAGTGTTCATTGCTGCACTGTCATTACAAATCAATGCACATTCGATCCATTAGCTAGTGGATCGACGGCGATTAGCGCTAGGCTTTCCAGCAGAAAGCACAGTGAGTGTTTAGTGCACTGTGCAGAAGTAGTGCTGCATGAGTAAAGGTTGGACCCCCGCTGCTGCCGCCACTGGACCAGTCGATGGTGATGCCGCTACTGATGCGATGATTCATCGGCTGCTCAGTAATGAGCCCAGCCGAACAATGTCGAACACTGCTTCGACTGCATCAGCTTTCTCCCCTGCACCATCGAATGGATAATCATTCAGTTCTGCTGGCACTGTGCGGCTATGACTGACTGTGTGACCTAAGCGAGACAGACCGCATCGAGGCTGCTGGCGACAAGCGGCCATTTGGCTGTGTGTTGTCTCCGTCTCCGTTGCATTCAATTGCTTGTTTGTTCTCCTTTTCTCTCTTTCTTAGCGAACGACTCCCTAGTTGAGCAGTGCACTGCATCCACTATTGCTAGCACTGAGCACACTGTGCGCAAAGTGCTGGTAGTGCTGGTAGTGATGGCGGCCTATGATGGCTGGGAGCAGGCAGACAGGGAGAAGGCAACTCAACTTGCACTGCCGCAGTTGCCGCATCTTGCTGCTGCTTGGTTCGCATCGATCCAGCAACTGTCAGAGAGGCAGAGAGAGCCAGAGCTCACTGCAATGCAATCAAAGTTCAGCAGTGACTGCTACCGCTTCTGTTCACTGCGCACATCTGCGAATGCGTGCACACTGCTGGTCTTTGCTACTGACTGGTCCCACAGCTTAGGGGCGCACTGTACTAAGGCGATGGAATTAAAAATGAAAAAAGTTTGCTCAAAGGGATTAGTACATTTGCTTTCTTTACCCGCACACTACCTAGGCCTCCACCTCTGAATTGCTGCGTTGTCTGGGTGACTTTCTGGTGCATCGGTGCGGCAAACTGACAAACCTGCAACCCGGAGATGCTGTCGTTTGGCTTCGATCGGTGGACCGGTCTCTGCTTCTGCAAGGATGGCAGGTAAGTCAGAGAAAAGAGTTGGGCAATGTCATGCATTTTGCACATATCTTTCTCACCTCATCAACAGGACATGGCCTTTATCAACCCAGCAAACGTAGTCTTTCTGTACATGCTGCTGCGTGAACTGGTCAGCGAGGACATTGAAACTGAGCAAGAACTACAGGCCATAGTGCTCTCCTGCCTCTACCTGAGCTATTCGTACATGGGCAATGAAATATCCTACCCTTTGAAGCCGTTTCTCGTGGAACAGCACGAAAGCAGAGAGAACTTTTGGGAGCGGGCAATTTACATTATCAACAATCTCAGCGGAAAAATGTTGAAAATCAACAGCGAGCCATCGTACTTCACCGAAATATTCACCGAACTAAAGGACTGCCACAAGTTAGTTGACTCGCCTACTTCCAAATCGCCGCCCAAGCTGAGCAATAAAGCAACTACACTGAGCAACAGCCACTCTACCAGCAGCCACAACAATGTGATTAAAAGAAGCCAGCTGCCGTCAAAGGCCGTTTCGATGATGCCCAGTGTGGTGGTACAGCAGCCACCAGCGGTCATGGCTAGCTAGCTGCCCAGGTACACCTTACCATCGTGATATATGTAACCACCATTATTGCACACTCTCCTTAAAGAATGACAAAAGACCAAACTTTCCACGAAAAGTGCAATCATCAAATACAACTGTCAGTACCTAGGGGACTACTTAAGTGCATAGAAATACTCAAGCAGAGTGATCAACTTATTCCAAAGAACATTGTACTCTATTTAACCTTTTAGTTTTTTCTTACTCAGCCCCCTCTTTTTGGCAAACTTCATTCTGTTGTTCACTTTGATCTGCGTGGATGCAGCCAACAGCGAACTTGTCCCCTTGGATCTATAATTGCAATTTTGCAGGCCCCTTCACCTCTGTACATTTTGTCCCCAACCATCATTTTGTCATTTATACTGTACAAAGTAGTACTGCCCCTATTGCTAATCTAAATTAGACTTGAAAGTAGAGTACATACCCCTGAAAGTGGCAATCGCAATGGCCTTCGCAATTGAAACACCGAACAAGACAGTCCCGTCTGCTCCAATTGAGACACGCAAGTTTGCGTAGGAAGGGGACAGCATTGCAACCGATGCAGCACTTTTCCTTGCAGCCATCTCAACAGAGCAAAGGAGCACCGAACAAACCGCCATATTCACAGCGAACACTGCAGGGAGAAAGGACAGACATGCGACTGACAGAAGACCACCACCACCAGACGTCATCGTCATCTGCGGCAACATATGGCATGATTAATTTGGTGGCGTCATTCGGTGTTCCACGTCCACTTGTCAAATCGATTGACCAGTTGTCCGCTCTTTGTCTGCTCTACCGTTGACAGCCTCTCTCTCTCTCTCTCTCTTTTCATGGCGACTCGTACCATTGCTGTTTTCTGGTCTTTCATTCCGCTGTAAAGCACACACACACACACTAGAATATGAACACAAACAAGCTTAACAAACAAATAGACTCCCTTTCTCTTTTTGCCAGTCAGGCCGGACTCTCAGTGCAACCCAACTACCCAACTACACAACATGCTGCCAAATGAATGCCAATGGAGACGCTTGTCACTACCACACAGAGGCTATTTTTCTACCACTTTGCAAATTCTAGAGAATTTAAAGATTGCATCTGCAAGCCTAAGCTATTAGGCAACAGGAATGAGATTACGATGATTGACAGGCAACAGTGACAGAGCAGCAGTGAACAGCGCCAAAAACATCCATTTGCCAAAGTAATATTTGTCACCGTCTTCATTTCACAATCAGCAGCTTTTCTCCCGACTGCACAGGCTGTTTACGTGACTTGAACGAAGTCGCCTAGGCCCCTGAGGAAATTACTAGCTGCAGCTGTGTGCCTACTGTGCGCTCACAATCGGCTCACAGCACGCAAATGGTAGACAATTTCAATCATAGAGCACCTTTTTTCTGGTTGCCATTCTCTTCACTTCACTACGGCATAGTTTTTGGTTTTTCACCACTTCACCTATAGGAGTTTTTAAAGAGAAACTACCAGCTAAGCAGTCGAGTGAGGCTATGAAGGTAGCCGCACTTGACGACCTGAATGTACTTAGGATTTGCTCAAACACCCATTTCTTGTTGTTTGTTGACAATGTCATTGTTATTATTTCTTCAGTTTTCTCTGTTTCTACACACCTACACACTCACACCAACACACACCCACAAAACAACACACTTCATCATTTTTGCATTCTCCAAACACTTCTTTAGTGACCAAAGAGCGACTTTGGACCCTTTTCTTTTTAATCTGTACAGTCTCTCTTTCTCATTATATAGTCCTTTATTGCTACCGATCTATTTTTCAAATCATTTCAAGGCTGTCTGGTCAATCAGCAGTCATGCAGAAACGTGCCACAAACTCACCTACAGAAGCGAGAACTAATTAACATCCACTTGCGTCCACTTACTCGCCCAAACCACATTCACACACATTGCCCACCACTTTCACTTGCTGTTCCCGCCATACAGAACACATAAGCACACACACATTCCAGCTGAAAAGTGTATATTTTCCATGTACCAACTGGCATCTACTATTCAGTCATTAAAGTCAACAGACATTTTCATTTGAACTTCTATTTGACTATGCACATATTTCCAATTCACTTCATCTTCTTGACGAAAAACTTTGAATGGGCGCCCGAAAACAACAAGAGAAATTGTGTCAATAATTGTACAGTATGAGTAAATATTATAGATAAAAATTAACTTAATTTCACACAAAAGGGAGAAATGATATTGAGGGGTACCTGTACTGATGTCACAAAAAAAGTTTTGCTGTTGTATTAAAGTAAATGGTAGGATGCTTCTTCATTCACTAGTTATTGATTAGTTGCTGTGCAACTAATGCGATTTAGAAGTTTGCAATGTAAGAACAGTTCCGGTCGGAGTTTCCCTTTACAGACTTCTTTGCAATCGATCCTGTATTGATTCTCCTTTGCACTCAAATCAACTCAAAGAAAAGCAAAGATACCGTTTTTGTTACAAAAGCGCGTTTTTGTAACAAAAATGATTAGGCTGATTGACTAGAAAAACCACTACAAAAACTCGATATAAGATATGGCAACATTTACAAATTACTAAATTCTTCCGAAAAATTCTTTCATCAGTAAAGACATCTTTACAAGTTTAAAAAGTGTAGTAAACAGATGGAAGATATAAAAGCTAATAAATATAAATTCAATTTAACAACAACAGCTAAAGTTAAGTGCGTTCATTGCCGCTAATTAAAACAAGAGTACAATTTGCTTGCAACAAATCATTGAGTTCTCCCGACTAAAATCCGGGCACTGAAATTCCATTGAGCTTTGAGGTAAGCTCATGCCCACAGGTATTCAGCACATGGCATTCATTATTAATTAACACAAATGCCACAACCAAGGTGAGTGTACTGAGTGCCACGCAGTTGTGAAAGCTTATGGGCGTACACCGGTGCTCTCCTTAAAGCATGATCCATTAGTGTGGGGAAACATTTCTTTTTGCAAACGCGCAAAACCTACGCCCGGAAAGTGGTGAAAGTAGTGGCGGTAATGAACCGGCGAAAAGGGGCAACCAAAAAAATTGGAACAAATGAAGGATAAAATGAAATGAAAGAATGACGTCAAAGAGAGCCGGTAATTTGAAAGCTGCCTGTACAGACAGTTACTGTCTCGGCTATTGGAGCTATTTAGGGGAAAGCTGCGTGATTGTGGTCGAGTTGCGAGAAGAGTTGATAGAGAGTACACACCGCAGCTTCTGATTGAATTGCGATCGATTGATCGATTGGTAATGATCATTTATACTGGCACAAAAAGTAAAGTAAAAGACGGCGAATGTTCACCGCAACAACACTTGCTGGTAAAAAAGGGGAAAAGGTGTTGAAGTGTTGAAGCAAAAATAAAACTACATTACATTGTGAAAAGACATTCAACGAAAGGTGTTACATCGCCTTGACCTTGAGCTGCTTCATCTTGGGAACTTTACGTTTCATCTCACGTTTGTACTCCTTCTCCTCCCATCGACGTTGCTTGTCGGGATCGGTCTCTGCAAGAATCTTTTCCTTTTCCATACGCCGCTTTTCTTCACGCTTCTGCTGAGCCATTTCCTGTCGCTGCAAATGAGTCGACGCCAGATAGAGCTTTTGCACCTTTTGCCGATTGCGATCCGATTTTACTTTACTCTCCCGGCTTAGTCGAAAACGTTTCAGTTTATCGATAAGGTAAAATACTAGCTGAAGAAGATGATTCATTCGCTCAATTTCTTCTGGATTTTGAGCATTAGAAGGAACTGCGAAAAAAGGTATTTAGATATAAGGAAAAAATGAGTTAAAATAAATCTTACAGATAAAGGAAGCAATTAGCATCTTTTTGACTTCAGGCAGCTTTGTTGCGTTTTGAGAATCACTAAACACAAAAACTGTTGTTAAACTATTTAAAAAAGGGAAAAAAGAAAACATACTCTGTGATACGTAGGCCAGAATACTGGTCCGACACGTGAATGTAATCAATGAGACTTTCATTTTTGTTGAGCAATGCGGCCACTTTGGAATCGAGAATAAAGCTCGCTGCCTCGCCAATTTCGTTGAGAAGCACAAAGTCTTGACTAGTAACGCCATACTTATCAGGACTTTTACGTTCAGGACAGAATGTTGCCTGGTATTGAGAAAAACTTTTAGAAACTTGAATATTTAAATCTAGAGTGTGCTTACAATGTCGTTCATTTCTTTAGAAAGACGAACTGCACTTTTGCGATTAGCAATGCAAAAGACAAAGTTGTCCAAAACATCGGGATTTAGGCTCGTTTTAATAATCTGAAAACAAATAATAAATAGTTGAAAAACCTTTTTGGATAAATCAGATTCTTTAGACTTACGATTTTATCATTTGTAGGCTTAAAGTAGTTGATCACAACTGAAAGTAAATCATGTCGTTTGATGAGATGAATTTCGGCGAGCATCCCGTCAACTGCATTACGCCCAGAGCACCAAAGAGTGTACACACTTTCAGTTTCCTTCATCAATCCATGATATTCAATTTCCTTTTTGCCGTCATCACCGACAAGACTGAAATTGTTTTCCAGCAGTTCTAAATTTTTCTCGTACCAAGAGTTTGCAATAGAAAAATTCTTCGTACGCCCTAAGATGAAATTGATAAAGTAGAGCAGCAGTCCGAGGATCATGACGAACTCGATGAAGTAGCTTTCCCAGTTGGCTCGAAGATGAAGAGGAATTTTGGTAATTTTCAAATCTTCTTTTTTGTTTGAATCGCCCAAACGACTAAATAAAAATTGTTATAGCAAATGCCACGAGTTCAAATTACAGTAAAATAACATACGATTTGTCAAAAGTTTCCTCCTCGTCCCGAATCATTTCAAACTCTTCATCGTCCTCATCTTCTACAACTGCATCTCCTAAATCGTCACTTTTCTTTGATTGCAATGGCGGAGGCGTTGGTGCCGGTTGTTGAGCCTGTTGTTGTTGTTGTTGTTGTTGTTGTTGTGGTCGAGCCGGTTTCTGCCCAATAAACTCGTCCGATTCGTCCTCGACGTCTTCAAATTCGGCAAATTCATTATCCTCTATATCTTGTTGGGAGTATTTTGAAGCTGATGTGTGCGGCACAACAACACAGAGTTCCAGAATTAAGAAAAGAATCACGTTTAGCAGCAAAACATGGGTAAGCCCACGGGTGTAGCGAAATTTTCCCATTTCAAGCACTCATTCGAGTGAAAAAAGTCTAGGGAAATATGAAGAGTTAAATACGAAAAGAAGAAATGCAAAGGAGTATCCTCCTTACCGTACGAGCAGGCTGCTGATGTGACCTGTATAAAAGCAGCGACTAGAAGGAAAAGGTAATTTCCTTAAAATCAAAACATTGGTATGGCAATAGATTTGAGAGGCAGTTGAAGGAACAACCGAAAGCTGGCACGTTGTTCCAACTAAGAATGACTCAGCTGAAGCTCATCCACTAGATAAGGCAAGGTGATATCAGGTGAGATGGATACCGCCGGTCTAGTGACTAAGCCCTTTATCTGATGCAGAGAAATTACAGGCCAGAAATTAGTGATTCGGATGCTAACACACACAGATGAGGTGCAATTTACGATTTTGTTGTATTCTCTCTTCAGAAAAAAGGACAAGCTGTACACTCACAGCGCTACAGAGAGCAGCACTGTGCAGCGCTGGGAAGACACAACTGGACCGCTTTTTAGAATGGGAATGAAAAACTCCCGATGCTGTTATCGATAGGCAGCTTTTTAGACTA